ACCTGTCTTAACAGAGGAGGAAGCGTCCTCCTGCCAAGTCACAGGTTCCAAAGCACTTTGGCATCTCCAGAAAACAAACAACCCCGAGCTTGCTTTTTTTTTCCGAGCCGAAGCAGTTTGCAGCATGGTGTGCAGTCTGAGCATAAGACCAACGCTGCTGGTAGGGTCTGGGCCGCATTTGGGCTGAACTGGTTTGATTTTGGAGCTGTGGATAGTTCTGCAGAAGAGATGGAAGAAAAATAGCACTTGGGAATTTGGGTGTCTTTGATAGACTGAAGGCAGATATGGTTTATGCATTGCAAAATGACCTAATGGATAAAGATTTGAAAAAAAAAAAAATTCAGAAAATCCTAATTTTTTTACCTAACACTCAGCAAACCCACAGCCCCGAGGGTCCTTCCATCTCACACCCCCTCCCCAGCTTCCCCTTTCCCTCGCGGTCTCCTGCCTTGGCAAGAGACAGTCAGCGTTGCACGCAAATAGCTTGAGCACAGATGCATTTTATTTTATTTTAGTCTCTCTTCTACAAACCGCGTAACATGTGGCAGGCGGGGATTCGGCTCTCGGCGCATTCAGGTTCTGAGCAGGGCAGCGAGCAAGGAGCGGGGCCGGGCGCTTTGCTGTTCATAGCCTCGGCTTTCCGTAGGGAACCTGCCGAGCTCAGGAACACAGGAGCTCTGATGGGAGGGGGTTCTGCCTCCAGTCTTCATCGGTCACCTTGAAAAGAACTTTTTTCCCCCGTAGCGTTGCTGTAAAAAACCAGAAGAGAAGCTGTGATCTGGCATTGCCTCTCTGCACTATCTTTACAAGTGAATTTGCGGGTGTTGCTGGTTTTATGCTAAACTTGGTATTTTAAATGGGGCTGATATTTTATTTCGGGGAGTCCTGAGAATTGAAAGCTGGAGAAACCTGGGTTGGAAGGGACTTGAGGAGTCAACCTCCTGCTCAGCTTAAGAGGAGAGTCAAAGCAGACATCTAGAAACAAAAGGCACAGAATTTGGATCTAAGTGCATGTAATGAGAATGTGAAATGCCATCAACACATTTTTTTAAACTATTATTCCACTAAGATTGATCTTTTTTTTTTTTTCAATGGAAAAGAGTACAATTCTCTCATGGGACTTTCCACAAATTGGATATACTTTAAAATATTTGCTCAGACGTTTTCCACAAGAGCTTCTCTCTAGAGAGTATCAGTACTCCAGGACAGACCCACTGCTTTTATATTTTGCCAGAAGACATCAACTCTTACACATAAGTTGGTCATCCTGAATCTTCCAAGGATAGCATAGATTATCCTGCACAAGTAGGACAAAAAAGAACAATATGATTGCAACACAGTGAACAAGAATTGCTTCTGTGCAACACTGCAAGAGGTCATGAGCAATCAGACTCTATTGAAACAAGCCAGCAGGAAGTGCGATAACATGTTTACCATGTGTCAGCAAAAATTATAATCAACCCTATAATAAATTTATAAACCTCATATAGGATTTAATCCAAGTCTTTTGAAATCTATGGCTCAACGCCTCTTGGTAAAGAATAAAGGCAATAGTTTGGCATCAGAGCATAATTCCTGGACTGCAAACCCGGCATCTGTTTTATGTGCTAAGCTGCAAATCCACTGCTTAAAATTTGTTTTTATTCTCTTCTACCAGGGAAGATGACACTTGCAGGGCAGTTCTAGAGAACACCCACCTGTGTTTGCCGGAGTCTGTCCTGCATTC